ATATATATAGACACACACACACACACACACACACATACACATGTATGAGTTCCCTCAGGCAAGGGGTTCGAATCCCCTCTGACACAGTTTGTCTTAAGGTGTTACTTGAATTGTTAGACACATTAGAGGTGGCTGGAGGCTTGAATAATAGCCTATATACATACATATATACATACATACATATTTATGCAAAAATTACACACTTACCTATCAATTCCTATGTATTTACATATCTAACAACTAAACTTCAATTTTTACATATATGTTGTCTAACCATCTCTTTTTAGACTGATTTAATAGATTTGCTTGGTATAAATATAAAGACTAAAGATTTACACATATGTTGGATATGTAAATACATAACTTAATTGGTTGGGTTGTATGTAAATTCCCCTATATATATAGATATATATCATGGTGTAAAAGGCCGAGCACTTGCAAATTATTTAGCCGAACACGAACAAGAAATATTTTAGTTCTCTCTAATTTTAGTCCATCACTTTGTAAACATATGATAGGAACTGGAGAAGAAACTAGACCAACTGAACGCACCAAAAGGCCACGACGAACTTTGAACACCATTTCTCTACACCAAAAAGCTGCTGCTTTACATTCATTGTTACAACTCTGCAGCCCACGGTAGATAGCTTTTTTGTTCTTAGAATTATTGGAAAGCAATTCAGAAAAATTTCGAGCTTTTTTTGGATTTTTATTTCATCTATTTCGCACTAGAATATATGTTGTTATTGTCGCATTTAGGTACATATGTAATGCATAAACTATAACTTTTTTTTACAATTATACTGCCTATAACAATACGTTCGAGGCGAGCTGGGGTCGGCTTGAATAAATTCAGTGTGCGGCTCCAAATCGGCAGGTGGCATGTTATTTTTTATTTTGAGCCAAGCTGGCTCGAAATTGAGACGAGGTAGCTCAAATTTAGTTATTTGGATCCGTTTTAGCTCGGAATCGATTTCATCCAGCTCAAAATTGAAACTCAAGATATTCTTATCTGTTCTGGCTTGAAATCGGCTTGAATTGACTCATGACTTGTTATATTCAATTTTACTTCGCAGTGTATAGGATTTTATAAATAAGAAATATTATGAGCGGATCTCGTGTCAGTTCGAGCAGATTCATATGGCTTCGATCCAAAATTTCGGCTCCCAGATTGGCTCACTTATTTTGAACCAATCTTGATTCTAGCCAAAATTTGAATTGATTTTGGAGAGATTCATGATCTTCGAGCTAAATTCACAATCATATTTATGGCACATGAAAATATCACTTTTTTAACTTTTGAAAAATAAAAAGATATTTTTTTTAAGGAATTAAATGCTATGTAAATATTCCTTTGTTATTTAACGTATGTTTACATGCATACCATTCAAATTTTTAAAAATATATAAAAATTACTATTATTATTATTAATTTTTTAGAAAATGAAATATCGATATTATACCAATGTTCTTAACCCCAATGTATTAGAAATATAAGTACCAAATGGGTGCTAGATATGTAGATATATAAAATTTGTGGTATGCATGTAAATTTTTAAAAATAAAAGGAAATTTTACATATGTACCACACAATCATTATGGATTTACAAATCTAACACCCAGAGATTGACATGTATACAAACAACACCTTTGTTTTATAAACTTATGCATAATTATGTGCATTTGACTCTAAAAATTAATCAAATTATGATTTTGCAATTTTAAAGATTGAGTGTTATGGATGTAAATGGTAAGCACAATTAATAAATTGAAATTACATCAAAATTTGTGCCGCTTATTTCTTAAAAGAGAGAAATAATTATCATTTTATTTAACCCTATAATATACCAAGCAGATTTATTAAAGCTCCTGCTGATCTAACTTCAATTTTCTTATTATTTACATATCAACCCTTATGTCTTTACATATCTAACACCAAAATTTTACTGTTTACATTTATACCACCCAAATCCTTTATATCACATAAAAAATACCTCCATTTTAATTTAAAAAAAATGATATTCACTTTTTCATGTATCAGTAAGTTGGGAAAAAATGAAGTTTGGGTGTTAGATATGTAAATACATAAGAATTAAGTGGTATGTATGTAAATCTTCCTTTTACATCCTATAAATTTTGTTCACCATCACCATTGGCATCAATTAAACTGATTTAACAGCTACAAATTCACAAAGAGCTAACCATTATCTTTCATAATAAATGCACAAATCAAACACAAAATATACATGTCCTAAAATCAAAGAAAATTTATTTAAAAAAAAAATAATTGCCTAAAATGAACATATATTCATATGATGCTATTACCGTCTGATCAACTCGAACTCTCTAGCCGAGTTAACTCTGATTATGGGTTGACTCGTCGTCTCGATTCGAGTCAGGTCAAGCCAAATATAACTCAATATTTTCCGACCGAGTTAGATTCTATGTTCTCAATGCCTTGATATAATCTATCTCTAGTTTGAACTCTCCAGGGCCAGATTTAGCACCAGGTACACCACCTCCTGCATTGACTGAAAGAGACATTCCGACGATTCGAGCTGGGTTCATTTCCAACTTTACATCGATCACATTTCCTCTCCACGTCGGCAAATATCGCTCCAACGGTATCTGAAACGCTCTAACATTATTTTCGATCCGACTAGTGCCCAGGCTATTTACATGAGGTTACTTCACTTCCAAAGTTTATAAAAATTTTAAATTAGTCCTGATATAATAGCACAATTTTTTGTATGATATTAAAGATTTGAGTGCTATCTGTGTAAATAAGAGAAAGTATCGGGGTGAGACATGTAAATACATAAGAATTGTGCCCCCCATAAAAATATTCGGAGACTAAATTGAGACTTTTATAAACTTTGGGACTAAAATGATCGAAGGACCATTTTTACACTTTTGTCCATCATAAAATATGATTTTACAAGTTCTATCATTATGAACACAAGGTCTAAGGAAATGAAATCAGGGATTTATAGAAGCTTACTTACCTTAACCTCATGCCATTCATCCTTGGGTGAGAAAACAAAGGCTTGCCATGAATTATCTTCCTCTTTTCCTGGTGAATTTATCCAATTATCTGTGTATATCTAAGTTGAAAAATGAAATTAAACAAAATATTTTTCATGAATTTCGACGAGGGGATAGAAATTGAATCGAACGGATATGAAGACTTGCCGTCGAAATGTACGATCTCCCATCGCCCAGAAGCTTCATAATAATTGTATCATATGCTTCCAAATCAATGAAACCCTTGAACTGTCAAAATCGAAAAAAAAGAGACATTTACATACACACCACACAAATTTTAAGTATTTACATATCTACCGCCAAAAAATTAATATTTGCATGCATAAAACTCAACTCTATAACATTATGACAAAAATAAAACCGAAGTGAAATACAACTTTTCAAGCATGTACTGGTCCCCCGACTCTTTAGAGAGGGGTTATTCTAGTCCCATAGTTTATATAAGTTTCAATTTACTCCCCAGACTTTTTTAATATTGGTTGAAATTGTTCACGGTGAGGAATATTTTAGCCCCTATTACAACAATCCATCGACTAATTTAGCACTTCTATAAACTCTAGGACATTTGCATAAACTGTAAAAAGTCATGGGGGGACTAAACTAATACTCTAGGACATTTACATATACATATAAATGCATGCATGCATGTATGCATATATGTATGTTTGTATGTATGAAAATGTCTACAAATGTAAAAAGTACCTTTTTGGAGCGCATACCACAAAAACCGCTCCTTTTCATTCTCCAAGGGGATCCCTCAGCCACATCCAAAGAAAGGTTCCCAGAGAAGATCCCTTCATGATTAAAATCACAACATTAGTTTCCAAGAAGAAAGAATTACATACGTATTTACATATCTAACACCTAAACTTTAATTTTTCACGTATATGACACCTTACCTATGCATGAAAAGATGTATTTCACATTTTAGTTCACATTTTAGAAGTTAAAATGGCTAACTAATAATATGAAAGTAGAAAAAAATTCTACCGTCCTTCTCATGCACATTTCGCTAAAAAAAATGTGGCACCTATAGCATATTAAACTACATGGTTCGGTTGCAAAAGGTTTGATATGCCTCAAAACCAAAATCCGCGAACAAACTATGACGAAAACGGAAATCGATAGATGGAAGAAACACAAATAAAGGCTGCTCTCACTAAAATCAAAGGGAAACAAACAAGATACAAGGTTGATTAACTATTTGAGAGGTAGATCGTCTCTCCCATACCCAAGACGTCGCTAGGAACACAACAAGAAGAAAGAAAACAACAGTCACAATAAAACATGCATAAAAAAGACAAACCCTAGATTACTCCCTTTAATAGAATCCTCCCACAACAATTCAAAACTTTCTTTCCAACTTTCCCTCCAAACTCCTCTAGTTTCTCCTCCTTGAGTACGTATTTAAGGCCCTTGTTGACCCCCACAGCTCCCTGCCTTCTTCAGCTGTGACCAATTGCAACTCCCTACCTTCTTCAAACGTAGAAGATTGCCGCTTGGCCTTTTCTTGCGACGCAGACCGGCCAGGCAGACTAGTTGGGGGACATTTGATCGGTCCAGGATGGACCGGTCTTGTTATGCCCAAGTCTATTAAGAGCATGGGCGTAACAAGGTGCTGTTAACATTAATATTAACTAGTTGAAAAAGTTGACATTTGGAAGCGAAAATACAATTATTTTATTGAGCATTTACATGCATACCACCCAATTAATTCCTATGTATTTGCATAGCTAACACATAAACTTTACTTTTTGCATTTATATTACCAAAATCTTCTGCATCACATCAAAATACCATCATTTTAACTTTTAACAAGCGGAATATATTTTTTCATGCACGGATAAGATGACATGAATATAAAAATTGAACTTTATGTTATAGATATTTAAATACAAAGGAATTGAATAGTATGTATGTAAACCTTCCTATTTTATTTCCCTTAGTAGATGCTTGCCATCTGAATAGAATAAAATTTCAAAATAATAGCCACAGAGACGACAACAACAACAAGTCTTTATCCCACTAAGTGGGGTCGACTACATGAATCCTTTTTCTCCATTTTGTCCGATTGAGTGTCATATTTTCATGTAATTCTAATAAATTATAATCATTTTAATACAATATGCCCAATCCTTTTTAGCTTTACATTTACCTTTCTTAACATAAATTGAATCTAAAACATCTACTTTCTTAGCCAAATCATCAGATGATCGACATTTAATATGACCAAATCATCTAAGGTGACTCTCTCTAATCTTGTCTGCCACTAGAGCTGCACCAACCCTTTCACGGATACATTCGTTTCCCAGATAAACTAAAATATTAATTTAAATTGAAGGAATTATATTAACATGGTGTAAAAATTCGTACTGTACCATTGAGTCCAGAATCACCCTCTTTTATCTCCAGGGATGCTGATGATAAACCTGAAAAATATTGGAAAACATGATTATAATCTGACAAATATAAATGAAATTGGAAATAAAATCAAATAACCAAGAAAATTCTCTTTAATGAAGAAATATTATGCTAATAAACAGTGTAGATTTTTGTTAAAATTAACATAACGCATGTGATAATTTACATTTGTTAACGACTCCCTTGTAAAAAGGCAGAAAGAATCATTAAAAACAATATCTTTGTTGAACTTTCTTTCTAAATGCAAACATATACGAGAGCCAAACTAAGAAAAATGCAATAAATGAGATTACCATAAAAAAATTGAAAATATTACAATAAGGAATAGTGTATATTCCCACTACAAATAAATTGAAATATGAGAAACCTTATATATGATAACAATTCATATATAGAAGTATTTGATCATCTCAACTTATAGTACCTCTTTATAATCTTCATTTACCATTTGGATAGAAAGGTAACACATAATGCCGATAAGCATTTACATAAATACCGCACAATTCTTATGTATTTACATATCTTACACCTAAGCATTCATATTTACAATCATACCACTAAAATCTTTAATCATGTAAGAAATACTAACATTGTTACATTTTTAAAGTGAAATACAAATTTTCATGCGTAGATTTATGACACTAAGGTGCTATAAATGTCAATATTAAACTTTGCGTGTTAGATATGTAAATACATGAGCAATGTCTAACATGTGTGTAAATTTCCCTTAACCAATATACTGCAAAACAAATAGTACTCAAACAAGGAATGAACCAAGGTAGAGACATACCTCCATATTCAGAATCAGAGTATAAATGCCATCTTTTCAGCTCATCCTTCGAGTTGAAACTAAATATAATATTTTCACTTGGTGGCATAAAATCTTCAAAATTCCATGCAAAAGCTGCAAATCATTAAAAATTAAAAATAAAGCTGTTCAGCTCAGCCAAACATGAACTAAGATGGACATCTATGGATTCCATAGAGAATTACAAATAAGATATTTGATTCAATCTTTAGTTTCAATCCAAAAAACATAACATGAAGATGCATAACGCAAGTAATGAATATACAGAACACTCAAACTATATGGAGAGAATGGATAAAACATTCCTTTGCTAAAGGTCCCTTCTTATGAAAAAAACCATCATATAACTAAAAAATACAATATATAAAGCGTTTGTAGCGCTCTCAAAGCTCATAGGATTTATCCCATATGGGATTTTTACATACTAACCACCCAAAATATTAAATTTAACATTTTAACAACCGTATTTTAAAAATTAACATTTCAACCACCCAAAACTTCCCTTTTTCATTACAGTCACGCCCCATTACCTACTCATTGAACGTTTTGGGTAGTCGAAATTTAAATTTTTAAATTTAGGTGATTAAAATGTTATATTTAATATTTTGGGTGGTTGGTCTGTAAAACCCCTATCATATATAGAGTGACATAATATCTGAAAAATTTAATAGATATAGAAAAACTAAAGGGCCAATTACATACATACCACCCAATTCCTATGTATTTACAAGTCTAAAAACTAAACCTTTTTTATACCACCAAAGTCTTTCATATAAGTTTTAAAAAGTGAAATACAACTTTTCTTGCATAGGTAAGAAGGTATGTATGTAAAAATTGAAGTTTAGTTATATATGTAAATAAATAAGAATTAATTGTATGTAAACCTTCCAAAACTAAAATACAACTAGCAAACTCAAAACAATTGTACTCTACCAAGGAAGTAGGTTTTCAGGCCTCCAAAAGAGATTTCCACTCATCTAGAATATGAAAATTTAGTTTCTTCGCCTTTACTAATATTATTTAGAGCGAGATCGAACAGGAAAGCTAGACAATATAGGCGTGTAATAGAATGATCAGAATACCAATAAAATGAGAATGGATATTGTGAATTTCAACCTTCATCTTTACACCATTATCGCTAAATACTATATGAAATTTGCTCCTACATTCACACACACTCTCATCCTTGTAAAAATGAGCTCCATAAAAAGAAAATAGATTGAAAAACAATTTGGATATCCTAAGAAAACATATAAGAATAGTAGAAGATTTTCATACACATCACTTAAATCTCGTGTATTTATATATCTAACAAATAAAATTCAATTTTTACATATACACCACTTTACCAATGCATGAAAATAAAAATTTAACTTTTTAAAAGTTAAATTGATGGTATTTTTTTACGTGATTGTAAAGATTTTAGTGGTATAAATGTAAAAAAGTAAAATTTAGGCGCTAGATATGTAAATACATTGGAATTGGATGGTATATATCTAAATGCCCCAAGAATACATTCTCACCACCCAACATCACATATTAATCTCAATGGAAGTCTTCCCACGCCACCTATGTTCCTCCATCGCCCCTTTCTCCAACAATTCATCACAAGAAAAACCGAGCCAACACACAGCCAATGAAGAAGACACATCAAAAGTTCATGCATAGGTTTAAAGCGCCAGAGCGCTATATATGTAAATATGAAACTTTAGGAGTGAGACATGTAAATACGTAAGAATTGAGTCCTACATATGTAAATTTCTCTTTAATCTTCGAATCTATACAAAACTACAACAGGATTTATAAACAAATCATGTATAATATCCCAAACCTAAGGGCCGATAGCCACCATAATTCCTCCTTGAATCTACCACTGTCTACACTTGCTGCAATAATACATGTAAATTAGAATGATCATTTGCCCTAAAACAACTATTTTCCATAAAAATTAGTTGATGGCAACAAGAAAAACAGAGACTGCAGTGAACTCCAAATGTACAAACCCTTAGATTACAAGAAAAAGCTGGATTAATCCGAGTTAACCCTTTCGTACATGATTAATTGCAGAAACAAGAGTAATTAAGAGAATCCTGCTCCTAAAGCATCAACTCGGAAGGGAAGAGCTCGAAAATCGTATAAAAATATTGCGGCGACTAACATCAACGAAAGCCCAAGCTTTGATGATTCCAGATCATGGATTTGAATAATTCAATGGTAAGCGTTAACCTAACCCTTCGGTTATCGTGAGCGTACCTCTCTTGGTCGCACTGATCGAAGCTTGCCACAGAGAGCGGAATCTAGACATGGTCTTCGAGCTCGCACGAAAGAGAAGATAGTCGCTTCAAGCACTCCAAAATAAATGATGAATTCTAAAATTATGATTTTTAGGGTAGTTTGGGGTGATGGTCTATTTGGCTAGTGTATCACAACAATAGTGAGTTCGCATGTGTTTAGCTCGTTTATATTTTGAGCTAAAAAAGTATATTAGTGTTCGACTTGTTTACTTGAACAAATACTCGTTTTGACAGCTTTAATTACGTAGCCATAACATGTTAAAGATTGAGATAAGATTTAAAAATTATTAATTATAATTAAACATCGTTTGAATCTAATGTAATCATTTTTATTATATTTTCTTAATTAATACTTTTAATTGATTATAATTCTTTGTAGCCTTGTAGTCAATTAAATTTTTCAAAAATACTACTCCTCGATATATATATATATATATAATTGATGAATAGTATTTTGAGCTAAAATGAGCCGAACAAGAACAAATAAATCTTTATTCGTGTTCAGCTCCTTAACTTAGTAAACAAACCGAACACGAGCTTCTTAACGAGTCGAACACGAGTTGTTCGTGAACAAGCAGCCATTTTGGCAACCTTAATTTTTATAGCCTTTTGAAAAATTTGATGTTGAAATTTGTGTTATCTCACAAATATTGATTAAAAGTTGTGGTAGCTAGTACAAATTTTTTTTTTAATTTATAATAGTCACCACAGTTTTTTGAACATCAGATTATTCTTCAACAACATCATAACAGTTTTTGAATAAATTTTTATGACCCTCAATATTATTAATTTTTAAATGTGAAATATATCTCTTTATCTATATATAAAATGTTATGTGAATATTACATTTTAGATGTGAGAATGTGATAATATGTAAATAGATGATAATTATGTGATCTATGTGTAAATATTAATTTGTTCATTCTTAATGCACTTGCCGGACCCAAAGGAGTTTTGTCCTCGAAGAAAAAGAAAAATGTTACCGGAAGCCGCCTCCGATCCCGAGCTCCCCACTTCCTCGCCGCCAACTCGATCGCCGGAGCATGGAGAGCGGTCAGCATCGGAAGTGCGGGGATCTGCCCTCCGATCATATTCTTCTCCGCAGGAAAATTCCTTCTGGACCCTGCAGAAGTTGCAGGTTTGCTCGTTTACGGATTCCCATGCTCTGTGATTCTCCGCTTTCACGGATTAGTTAGTTATTTATTTTTGCTTTCAAATAGAAATATTGTATAAGATTTGATGTGTTTGATTAGGGCCCTAAGGCTACTTTCTTAGCTTAATCTGCGGTCGAGTTTTCAGCTTTTTTGTTTTATTTCCTGTTTCGAAGTCGAAGGTGGTTGTCAGTATCGTGATTCTGAGGGCAAATGCAAGTTAGAGGGCTAAGTTTTGTTGATATGTCAAAGCGGCGTGAAGCTGTGAACTGTGGCGACTTTATTCGCTGTAGCTAGGACTGAGAGCGATGGTGGAAGTGTAAGATCGTCGTTTGGATGTCGGGGGAAGAACATAATGGATTTAAATGGAAGTGAAATGAAACAAAAAGAAAGAACATAAATTTTATCGTCTATGTTTTAAGTAAAATTTTCCATTTTTTGGATCTTGAACCCCTGTTGAAGTTCAAATGCGAATTTGGCAACAATCTATCCCATTCTATTCAGTGATATAAATGCCTCCTGAATACCTAATTAAAAATGCCAAACGAAATTACCTGTGCACTAAATATCTGTTTAAATTAATATTGATTCTTTGATTTGTAAAGTGAGGATGAGCAATTGCTTTGCGATTTGCTTCATTGTAGATTCGACTTTATCTTAATGCTTCCTGCAACAATTGCACTCTTATTGTTTTTTAAAGATATTAATTTAATGGTATAGATGGTGAGAGTTTTGCATACATTGTCTGTCTCACTCTTTTATTTGAAGCACACCAATATACAAAAATCCAAAAAAAAAACACAGAGCAAAAATGCACCAGAAGTTTCTATATGTGATGGATACATTCCATTGCTATTGTTTCAGTTTCAAAGTTGTTTTATAATGGAAGAAATGCTACCGAAAATTCTACCTGTAATTTCTCTTACTGAACACAAGACTGTTCCCCTCCCCTCTCTTCATAAAGAATAAATTCTTTGCATATATATATATTAAAAGCTGCATCCTCGGCTTGTTGGTTGGCATCCACTTCGTCAGTTGTAAGTCCCCTCAGGTCGGGGGTTCGAATCCCTTCCAGATGAGTCGTCTGGTATATGGAGTGGTACTCGAATTGATTGACCCACGGGGTCCAATCCCAAACCTAGCGGATTTTGAGCCCAAGGTTGTATATATTGGTTGTTCTGCCTGTCAACCAATCTAATATATATATATATATATATATGTTAAGATTTTCAAAAGCACGTAATGAAATAATTGCAAATTTGGACACATTTTTGTGGCTTCATCCCTAAACACCAAGGAGGCACAAGAGGGGGCTTATAGTGAAGGTTGACCCACAACTAAGTTTATGTAGTATGTTCTATTTGTGTGGCGAAAATTAGGCTCTGCAATTTAACAAGGTGAAGTCCTAATTCATGGAGCTTTCAGGAGTAATTATTTGTGGGTGTCATGATATTGTTGAAAGTTTGTCACCAAGAAGACATGATTGGTAGCTTTAATTTAACATGTGGCATTCATACCTGAACCAAATTTTCTCTGTGTGGCTAAATGTTATATTTTTATCCAAAGCTAGTGAGACGAATGTTCCTTGATCTTTTTTTCTCTATTTTCCATTAAACTTTCTGGCTGATAAATGGTAATAATGAAAAGAAATATGCAATAAATTTTTTTTTTCCAAATTGCTATTTTGGATAGAATTTAGCCTCATATGTTTAGCTGTGATAGTCTCATTCTATTGTAGCCAGCATTAAGATTAATTACCTGAACTATTAGGCTTCATGTATTCATGACCCCTTTTTCTTTGAACATTAATATTGGGCTGTTGCAGGGGTGTACATTCCAATGTAAAAAATGTTAAAAAAAAATATTGTTTCATGCTTCTTTTCTGCTATGTTACTTTTGGCATGCTGTTGTTGATTTTTTTATAATTTTATATCTACTTCCAAAAATCTTTAGGGTATCATTCCCGAGATGAAATTGAAATATAAAGTTTATGAAGATGCTGCCGTTCAAAAAGTTAAAGGCAAGTCATTTATTAACTTATCAAATTCTTATGCTTTATGAAGAGATGATATATTTATGGCATAATGAATTACATTTGTTCTATCCATTAGATGGGGTTGTGATTGCGGGTGAGCACCCTGCTGCAACATTTGGCGTTGCAGTACTTTCAGGTCTACTTCTAATGCGAGGTACAATCTTTTTCATTCTTCTATCAGTTCATTGAATCTTAAGATTACCTTCAGCTGATAATTGTGATCAAACACGCACATGGATTTATTATATTTTTTAGGCATTTACACGCATACAACCCAATTTTTGTATATTTACATTTCTAACACCTAAACTTTACTTTTACCATTTATATCGCCCAAATCTTTCCTATCACATAAAAAAATACCACCATTTTAACTTTTTAAAAGTGACGAACTTTTTCATGTGCAGGCATGTAGTTAAAAATGTAAAAATGGAAGTTTAGGCTTTAGATATGTAAATACATAGGAATTGAATGGTATGTATATAAATCTTCCTATTTTTTTATTCATTTCCAATATTCTTTTGCCTCTTACATAACCCCTCACAGAATGATTGGGAGCACGAGATGATGATATACAAAAGGATATTCAAGCAATTAAATATAATGAAGTCAAGTAATCATATTTAGCAAGTGTGACATTATGTACAAACCCTTGCGTTATAAAAGCGAGTAAGGAACTTAGTGCCAAGATATTGCAAGGACATTCCTCTGATTAGCTGCAAAATGGACCGAAGAGAATGTCTTAGAATGCTTTAGGCCTCTAGCTTGACCTCCACCTAGAAAATTTTGAGTATAAGAGAACTAAAAACAATCCAAAAATAGTATGCATTAGTATATTATTCTTTGAGAAGCCAATTAAAAACTTGCCTGAATTTGCAGCCAACCTTATAAATGACCAACCCTTACACAACTGGAAACAATAATATAGCAAAATGATTTATAAATAGAATGGTTACCAGTTGGTTTATATAAGATAAATAATATAAGATATTCAAAAGCATAGTTTGACTCATAAATTGTGCCGATGATAGATTTAAATCAATTAAATAACACGTTGAAGAATTTCTAGCAATTATTTTAACAGATGATAGCACTCATAAGGGCTCATAAAATAATGGTAGAAGGATTGGTATGTAGAATGTTCGATCAAGATAAATTGGATGTGATGTTTATCAATGTCAAAAAAATGTGCAAGATACTTTACCGATCTTTAATGAAAATAGATCTAAATTAACAATGTCAAGCAACAAAAAAAAGGTGATGTTAAAATATTGATAGTATGACATGTTGATGCCTATCAAAATAATAGAAGCGAATGATAATTTCTATTAAATGAGATAACAAGCTGGCAGTGATAGATGGATCAGCAATCATAAAAAAAAATTTAGGAAGTAACTATAGTACTAATTATCATATAACAAATGGATCTATGGCTTTGACTCATAATTCTAATTGTAATGACATTCAACTTCAAGTTGCCCAGCTTCATAACACAAGTCATGCGTGGCATAATCGAATCACTATGAAAATACTCTTGATGTTAACTTAAGTACACAGAAAATGAAAGCACTCATATAAAGTAATAAAGCAGGTCGAGTACATTTGCAATGTGTTTAATGAGCGAGGGAGCTCAAATTCTCATAAAGTTAAGCTATAATATGTTTAATAGTTGTCTTAATTTTCATAAAGAAGTTAATAGTAATACGTGCAAGTTTTTGTTGTACATTTGAGGTTGAGAAAAAAGATAAAAATGGTTCCTGAACTATTTGTAAGGGCATTTTAACACTAGACTATCTAATGTATCAAATTAAGTCCCTCAACTCTTCAAAGCTAATTGAAAATGGTCCTTTACTCCCCAAATCAGATCCAAAATAATCCAAAATAGGCGGTATGTTGGATTATATTTGACGAATTAAGATAATATTAAGCACATTTATAACGTGGGACTAAATTAAAACCTTGCCCAGGGACCTGTTTTATTTATTTTTCTTATTTGAGGTTTATTGTTAACAAGATCAAAGGAAAGTAATTGGTGTAAGATCATAAAATAATATAGAAATATTTGGTAGCAAGCATATATTGAACTCCTTATAACATAATAATATATATCTTATTGGGATGAGAATAGAATTTTAAAATGATGTAATAAACATCAAGATGATGATTAATGCAACTATAATCTAACTTTTTAATCCTCTATTAAAGGATAGCAAGCTCTTACATGGATGATAATAATAATAAGGTAACTCTTAAGGGGCATGGCAAAATATAACAAGCATAAAATAGAATAAATTTTTTTTTTGCTATATTATGAACAAATTATCTTCTTAACCTTATCAAATTTAATGCATTAGTATTGCACTCTTATGCCAATTGTCAGGTAAATATAAACTAATGCATGTATATTAATCAAATTTAGTATATATTTTTATTGAGCAATGCTTCTCACACACAATTGGTCAATACATTTTCAACACAAGTGCATGTCATGTATGTGAAGAGTTTGATGTATGAGGAGGAGGGGGTAAGCTAACAACACATAATCTCTTGAGATTAAATTTGGAATTATATTTGCTAAGTGAAAATGCATTATTATTTCAAGGCAAATAAATTTTTTATTATAATCTAAGGCACTTTAAGGTGACATCGAGGAAAGTTTCTTACGTAAAAAGTCATTCAAAAAGAAAGTCAAAATTTTCACAGATGTTGATTAGGCTGAAGACATCAAATTGAAGGTATACTTCTTGTTATTTATATTTATGTATAGGAGAACTTCACATGGAAAAGTAAGAAGTGTTGAAGCTCAACGCCTGACAATGGCACTTGGTACATGTGAATGAATACTGTTTAAAGGATTGTTATAAGAAATTAAGATATTAAGTGGAAAAATATTCAATATTGCATTGTGATGAGATCAATGCAACTATTTTATTGAGCTCCTCATAACTTAATAATGTATATCACATTGGGATGAGAATAGAATTTTAAAATGATGTAACAAATATTAAGATGATGATGAATACAACTATAATCTCTCTGATTTTTTTATTCCTCTGATCAAGGATACCAGCCTCTTATGTCGATATTAATAATAAGCTAACTCTTAAGGAACATGGCGAAATATTTTAAGCATAAAATATAATCAAACAATTTTGCTATATTATGAACAAATTATCTTCTTAACTTTATCAAATTTAATGCATTGGTATTGCACTCTTATTCTAATTGCTAGAGAAATATAAACTAATGCATGTATATTAATCAATCAGTATATATTCTTATTGAGCAAAGCTTCTTACACGCAATTGGAAGTTTATTACTAAAAAAGTCATTCCCAAAGAAAGTCAAAATTTTATACTGATGCTGATTGTGCTGAAGACATCAAATTGAAGATATACCTCTTATTATTTATACTTATGTATGGGAGAACTTCACACGGAAAAGTAAGAAGTGTTGAATTTCATTACATGACAATGACGCTTTGTACATGTGAATTTATATTGTTAAATGGGTTGTTATAAGAAATTAAGATATTAAGTGAAAAAATATTAAAAAATGCATAGTGATGAGATCAATACAACTATTTTATTGAGCTCCTCATAACATCTATTGAACTCCTCATAACATTATAATGTATATCTCATTTGGATGAGAATATACTTTTAAAATGATGTAACAAATGTCATGATTACCATCAATGCAACTATAATCTCTAGCTTTTTAATTCTCTATTCAAGGATAACAAACTCTTACATGTATAATAAAAATAAGGTAACTCTTAAGGAACACAACAAAATATAATAAGAATGAAACGTAATCAAACAATTTTGTTGTGTTAGGAACAAATTATCTTCTTAACTTTATCAAATTTAATGCATTGGTATTGCACTCTTATGCCAGTTGCCAGGGAAATATAAACTAATGCATGTATATTAATCAAATTTAGTATATATTTTTATTGAGCAATTGTTCTCACATACAATCGATCAAGACAAGTGCATGTTATGTATTTGATGACTTTGATGTATGAGGAGGGGGTAAGCTAACAACACATAATTTCATAAGATTAAATTTGGGGATGATTTTGAAAGTATATTAGTTGAGTGAAAAGAACAATTTTCATTATTATTTCAAGGCAAATAAATTTTTTATCGTACTCTAAGCCACCTTAAGGTGACATCATGATACCGGAACTAGTAAGGAGAAAACATTGCAAACACCAAAAAAAGTAAACTTTCGTTAATATTAAAATAGGGTTACAACATGACTCGAACAAAAAATAACAATACAAACACAAAATGACATAAGCAAACACTTCTAAATGTATTCCAATGGGTGGTGGAGGTCGGCGGGTGTGTCGTGATGGCTAGCAGGGTTGGTGACAATGACAAAATGTTGGTGGCATCGAGGGGAAATATGCAGAACTATATGAACAACAAGTGGGAAGGATTGTAGGTGGCCGACAACAGTAGTGGGGTGGTTGGGATGAGCTTGAACGGAGTTTGGCAAGGTGCTTAGCAATAATAATCAGTAGGAGAGGGGGCGGCAGGGTGTTGGGTGACAGAGGGAGAACTCGATGGCTGAAAAGTTGAGTGGGGAGGAGAAGGTTTGGGAAAGGTAGAAGAGAAGGATACAGTTAGAGCACCACAATCTCCTCAAATACATCCCACAAAGGGTAAATGGACTCCACACGTAGGTGTGAAGACAACACAACCAGTGCTGACTCCCACACACACCTAGGACGACAATTTATGGGAGTCCCCAGGCGAAGGAAGCTTCTACATAAAGGAAGAGAGTGAGAAGCCAAGAAAGACCTAGAAAAAACCTTTTCAAGAAAAGACAGGCGAAGCAGCTTCTCTGAATCGCAAATTATCACGATCCACCTCTACTCTTTATGCGGGGTCGCGAATTGTCTTGCTCCACTTGTTAATGCGACGCCTCTGGCAGCAAGTGTTCCCTCCAAGATTCGCGGGTGTTCCCTCCAAGATTCGCGGGTGTTCCCTCCAAGATTCATTAAGGAAAAGTCTATTACGTAAAAAGTCATTCCAAAAGAAAGTAAAATTCTAAACAATTAGGAAATGCTTGAAATTTGTATTTTCTAAAGTTTCATAAAATATTTTCTTTCTTATAATGATCGGGTAATATATTGATAATGGAAAACAAAAAATATAAACCTTGAGAATTGATCATTTTAAAATCAAACGTAGGAATTTTTTTTGTAAAAACTGTACATGGAGAAACATTCGAACATGTTATATTTAGATACATAATATAACACATTACATGCAATGAAACTGAACCAAAATAAATTTGCTTCATATCACACTTGTTTTTGTTTTTCCATTGGTGCTTTATGTTATTTTGTTCATATCTACAGGACCTAGAAGGTTTCTGTGGCGTCAAACTTTATGGCGTTTCCAAAGCGAGGAGGTGACGTCTCTCTTTATGCCTTTTATTTTGATTCTATCTCCATTGTTATCATTGCATTTTTTGATCTTCATTATATTTGCACAAACCAACTTGGTTACTTTTCTAAAATATTGCCTTTTGTAAGTGCTACTCCTATAATTTGTTTGATACATACATTTAGCCCTCTATCTATCGGGGTTTTGTACTCTGTCCATTTTGAACATTCTTAGTTTTTGGAATTCATGTAGTTTATTTTTTTTTTCTGTCATTCAACATTAAATCCATACAATGTAGCTGTTGTACTGTTGTACTATAGTCTATAGAATTATATTTTTAGTTCTTTTTTTTATATTCTTGTGCTTTATAATAGTTTTGCATGTTGGTTAAGTTGTAATCCTGATTTATTATCAGATGATTTACATACATACCACCCAATCCTATGTATTTACATATCTAACGCTTATACTTCAATTTTTACATTAATGCCACCTTACTTGTGCATGAAAGGTGTATTCAACTTTTTATAAGATAACATAGTGGTATTTTTAATGTGATGTGAACGATTTGGGTGTTATAAATATAAAAAGGTCAGTTTAGGTGTTAGGTATGTACAAATGTACGAATTTGGTTGTCCAAATGTAATAACCCATTTTATTATTTGATTTTTGTTTGAACAAGCAAGAAAAGAAATGCATTGTGTGTGGGCTCTGAAAATTTCATGATCGTTCCCCTGTAGTCTCTGCATTTATTTTTATTTTTTTGTTTTGTGAGAGCTTTGGAGGATCGAATTTTCAGAAATCAGGTTGAATTGTAGATATGACACTACCCAGAGGTTTCATCCTCATTTTGCGAGGACTTTTTAACATGGAGTTCGAGGTTTTCGATAGGCGCAAACTCCTATTGTTAATTACTCCCCGCGATAACGTGAGAGCATTTTCAATTAAGACTAGTCATTAATAATTGAGTATTCAACTTATAATAGCAATAGATTTAGGATTTTAAACTGTAGAATTGATCACTTGAAGTTTAAAGCGGATGGTTGGGGGAATGAAGATGAAACCAGATCAATATCTCATGGTTCCGTTTTCCCGGGTCATCTTAGTTCATGGTTTACTTAGCCAGAGGAGATAATCGATCCAACCTGACAGAAGTATGCTTTTCGGCAGCCATGGGTTGCGTCGTCCAAGAAATCATTGTAGATTTTAGATGGATATTTGTCTAAGGGGACAAATGTACGTCGACCTTAGCTAACCAAAGACTTTATGCCAATCAATTATACTGTTTTGATTCATGACTTAAAGGGTAGAAAGTCGTTGGGGAGCATGCGGGTTGTGACTGTGGTCGTAATATAATTGTGTCATTTGGCGAGCGGTGATGGTGGTAATTAAGTACCCTTAGATAACAAAATATTATTGCTAAAATTCAAATATGGAAGTTACAACCACACAATTGAAAGGGGGAATTGCAACAACATAACATGGAAATCTGAAATTGCGACAAATAACGACATCAACTCAAACTAGGGTGGATCGGAGGTGATTGTGGTGGTTGTTAGGAGTTGGTCTAGTGGTGGTAAGATGGGAGCGCGAAGCAAGTGGGCGGATATGATAACGAAACAACAGGTCCTTGTTAACTTGGGTGAAAACAAGGTGGAATTTGGGTTCCTGGAGGCTGGAACGCAAATATGTGTTGGGAGGCGGAGCAGGAGGGTTGGGACAACGGTTAGTTGGCAGGGACGTAGTCCGAGATTGCTGGAACAACAACTGTCGAGAAGGGGAGAGGGGATTTTTGGTTTCTGGAACAACGATGACAACAAACGGGAGTGCTGGAATCGCAGGGGAGGTGAAGAGGGATTTTGGAACAACAATGGTAGTGCGGGTGGGGAACGCGTGGGACTGTGAAATAGCAAAGGGAGGGTTGTCCCGGGGTTGTGACAATGAGGGGAATGGTTGGACATTGAAGACAACCGGTTGGAATGAATGACAACAAGGTGGGAGGAGATTGGAAGGGATGACGACATGTGCAGGATGATAATAGGGTTGTTGTTTGGTGGTTATGATAGTGAGGAAAGGCGTCGTCGACAACGAGGGGTGGAATGCAGAGGATGGAGAAGTCAGAAATAAACACCCCCACGAGAATGAACTACAATCGGAGCACCACTTGATCCATAGAAAGAGATCACTACCTCGGACGAGCTATAGCCGGAGTACTGCTTACGTTTGGATATAGCCCTAGAATGGGAAAACCTACACGTCGAAGGCTGTTCTGACAGAACGCAACATACATATTGGCCTAAGATAACTAATGAGTGGACCCCACTTTAATTGGGTGGTAAATCCACATAAAGAAAGGGTCGACCGACCCTCAATTCTGGACCAGTTCAAGCCGTTGCACACTTGTGAAATTTCACATAAAAAGTGGGAGATGATCCTGCATCCCGCCTCGTAAGCTAGAGAGTTTCTCACGTTAGTCTCCCAATGTTGGGGTAGCTTCAAGCTCATTTGTCGGAGCTTTCGTCTTCTCATACTATGACGTTAGGTTGGTTATGTTGAATGTGGTGGAACTGCTGTAACTTTTCGATAAATCAATTATATAGGCGATGTCATTCCAAAACATATCCTAATAGAATAAATATCCATCATCTTTTGGCACAACTTGAGCCGGAGTATCCTCACTAGCTTAGCCTCAAACTATCAAATATGTAATTAGCTTCTTCCACTCGTACTCGTCCGAGTGTATTTGGTAAAAAAGTTATGGAAGGAGGATTCAACTTGGACAAAATTTATGGCTAATCGTGCAACTCTCACTAGCAACCACTCAGAAGAGTTATCTTGTTCTTTTCTGGTAGAATCTGGATCCCATTATAGGATTTTCTTGTCCACAGAGATGATAAAGCGATTTCCAATGCTATGGTTCATTCATTTTATCTAATCATCTATTAGTGAATACGTTGTTGAATTGATTTTACTATCTAAATGACTCTATATAGACTTCCAAATGTGGCGCAATAGAGTCTCGTCACTAACATGTTGGATCTCTATCAGTTGGGGCATCTCAAAAAAATAGACTATATCTAAAAAATTTGAAGTTCTCTTATTTGGTGTTGTCATGTGTCTGGTGTCGGTTCCTCAAACTTAGAATCATCTTGCACTACCGATATTAATTATGTTGGAATCTCTTTCATGGGTTCAACTTAAGCTATGTGCATTTCTTACTCATTAGTTAGAATTTGGTGATCTTTTGTGTCCTCTCCTTCTTCAGTGTTTACTATGTCATTGTCCATTTTATCAGCTGCTCTCTGACCAGTGAAATAAATGATTTCCTTGTTTGTGTAATCTGAATCAATATGTCCAAATTCGTGGCACTTGAAATACTTTCTGGCCTGGACAGATTTGGGAATGTTGATTAATTTCGTCTGTTCTCCTCTTTGAACTAGTAACTTCTCAGGCGGATTCAGCTTGGATGTTTTCTTTAGTGTATTTTGATTGTAAGAACCTAGGGTTGAACCCTGTCTATAAGATGTGGCGGTCGCTCGTGATATTGCATCTCCACTTTTGAAGCTAAGTTCAGAACTTCCTGTTTGTAATGAACTGGTAGATACTGATGATGCATCTCTTGTTTTATCTTAGACCAGGTAGTGATCTTTTTTTTCCCTCATGCTGGCATAAGTGCTTTAAATGTTTCCACCGAAACAACTCTCTTTTTTAACTTGTTGGTGGTTAGTTGTATGCTTCTGTCCAGTTGGATCTCCTGGTACTCAAAGAAAAGTTTCACGGTCTACAACCACTCGTTGAACTTGTTTGGATCCAAGTGACCTTCAAACTATAACAAATCCACCTTTACTTCCAAATCCAGGTTTCCTGATATTTCAGGCTAAATCTTCGGGGTAGAGGTTTTTCATCCCTGAAATCTACATGGTGGAAGAGACCCACTTCACTCCTTTTATCTAGTAAGTTGTTGTTGTGAAAAAATGACGGCAATAAATCGAAAAATGGAACGAGTAAAATTGCACGCAGAAAAACACCAGAACGATACAGATTTACGTGGTTCGACAAATTTGCCTACGTCCACGGAGCTGCAGAGGATTTTATTTCTTCGAGGAATTACACCGTCGAGCGCCTCGACGTTTACAAGAAAATCTTTATTTTTTTCTCTTCCATTCTCTCTCTCTCTCTCTCTTTTTCTCTTAGTTCTCAAGGGAACTTGGTTTGGTGGGAAAATAGGTGAGCGACTATTTATGCCAAAAGAGACTATTTATAGAAACCATGAGAGCGATATGTGAGATTTAGGTGAGCGGTAGGTGGGAAAATAGGTGAGCGAGAGGTGGATTCTTAATTAGGAAGCTAATTAAATTTCGGTGGATCGGGTTTCCACATTATCCAATAATTCTTTCACTTGGAGACTGGGATACTGACTGCATCACCTACTGACTGCACCATCTACTAGTTGTACCAATCTTTTCCTCAAACATGATATCCTCCACCTCTGTAACTCAAATCCCTGTCTTCATGCCAGAAGACTAGCTGAAGTTGAGCACAATTTCAGTTTCTCACGAGTAACACTCTCAGTTAACATATCACCGTCAACGTAGCCTTTTACCATCAAACTCTTTCCTGGGTTACTTCTGTAACAACTTATAACTCCCACTGCATGAGCAATATTCTGCCCCTGCTGAAAGCCCTTTTCTACAAATCCAGCCTTGTACCTCTTACTGCCACCAAACACAGTCTTCACTTGGTACATCCACTTGTTGTGCAATGTCTTCTTCCTTGGTGGAAGTTCTGCAGTTCTCAAGTCTGATTTTCTGGCAGGGAATCCGTTACCTTCTTCTTGGTCAGATCCTACTTGCTCGAATTCTCATCTTGTAAGATTGCTTCATAGTTTTGTGTTTCTCCACCATTGGTCTATACAAGGTCCGATTTTTCTGTCTTTGGCGCTTTGCCACTTTTCAGGAAATTGACATTCTTCTGCTTCCCCATAATGCATCTCTGACTCATGTGTCCTCGTCCGAGTAAATCTGT